GGTTCTTTCCCCTCTTGTTGCGGTTATTTCAAGCCTTAAAAATCTGCTGGAGAAGCCGCTATGTTGAGGAAAAAACAGTCCTGTAGTCCCTAGTTTCTTAGATAAAGCTCGAATTAAGGACCAAAGACTATAGCAATCTGAGGCTTGTATAACCTCTGTACTGACTAGAGTATCAGTTACTCTTTGATGCAGGAAGTTTGTTATTCGAATTTAAGTAATACAGCTCAGGTTTCTAACTTTTCAGGTATGTAGTGTAAAATAGTATCCAGCTTCATAGCTGAAAATCCAAAGTGTTACAATCTTCAAAACTAATAATTAGATGCGAAAGTTGGATATAGGCTAAATAGACTTGCTACAGGATAATATAGCTACTAACTATAGAAAAACAATGAAGAATCAAAAATATACATTTTGAACCTCTGTCTTTCATGTTAGTGACTTGTCTGTTTTCTCAGCTCAACAGGTGACTTGTCCACAGGTAGCACTGGGATTGTTTTCAATAGCTACTTTGGTCCTGTATTTGTCTGTCCCTTTGTATGCTGTGGAATTACTCCAGTTTCACTTACTCAAAAGCGAACTCACAAGTGAACAAAACTTTCAAAAAGGCTACTGTAAGGAAAATTGCTGTATACATTCAGTTAAATAGTACCTGCATGGAAAAAGTTGACCTGATAGTCGTTCATATGCTGATAAACAGTGACTTTTCTAAGCTTTGTTTGTTACTAATATGATATACAGAAAATGCTGAAAATGTGAATCAAGGTATTTACTTACATAGCTTTATGGACTATAACAAAAGAATCTTAAAAATTTTAATGGGTCACTTTATAAGTGACTGTTGAGTCTCATCCTTATTGACTTCCCTTTTCACAAGAACCTGTTCCTGCCATGTGCCTCTGGAGCCTTTTAGGAATCTATTTTTTAAGCTTATTTCTCTTAACCTAAGATGCTAGAAATTTGCTTTTCAAAAAGGGGGGGGGGGTGGAAAGAGAGATTCTTACCAAATCCTGTGAAGTCAGAAATCAGAATTATGAGGGAATGACTTGTGTCCTTCGAGAGATGCCTGAATTGCCTGTGTTTTATTTGCTATTTTTAGAGTGTTGCAAGCCACTTGCATGGGCCAGTTAAAATCTCTACAATTTGTCCTTCAAGATGGACTTTTTCTCTCCTCCTTTATTTTTCCTTTTTCCCTTCCTTTTTTTTTCTTTTTATCTTTTTCATTGGTCTTTTCGTCCTTTAGATTTTTAATTTTTCCCTTTTCCCTTTTTTCCTTTTTCCCCTTTCTCTTTTTCCCCCTTCCTCTTCTTTTTCCCCTCTCTTGTACCTCTTTTTCCCCCTTTCTCTTTTCTTAGTTCGCAGTTCAGAAAATATTGTATGAAAATACAAGTCTGAATCTGTTTTTTGATTTTTTTTTCATTTATCAAAATAGAATATCCTATTCCCATAGAAACATTGCTCATTTTGCCAGTAGTGATCCAAAAGAAGGATCACTGGTCCCTGCAGACATGGGTAACAGCAGTTAAACCATAATATTTTTGTCAGAAGGTGGGTTATGAGTAGGGAAGCTTATGTTGCACAGTGTTACTGTGCTAAGAAAATAACCTTGTTACTATATGAAACAGGTTGCTCAGTAAGAAGCATTAGGTTAACCCATCTCTAGACAGTCATCACCATTTGCCTCATGCTTATATGAAGCTTTATGGAAGCTTCGATCTGTCACCACAAAGTGATTTTCTCTGAGATGTAACAAACTTCAGGTGACTGAAGAAATTGTCATCCCAAATGGGAAAGGAAAATAAAATGATTAAAACTCTGTGTACAGTAAGGTTACTGAAACAAGCTTAGCTGGACATTACTTGTAGAATTGAGAATTCTTCCATGGACTCCTATTTGTTTTGATATAATTACAATATAGTGAAAAACTGCAAAGTATCCTAGTACATACATACAGCTAAATAGAGCATAATGTGAGATAATTGAGCAAGTGAGTAAGATGAAGATTTTCTCTAGGTTATGTACGTCACTTGGAAATCTGTTAAATTAGTTTTGGTTGTTTTTACTGTTTCCATCCATGTTAATTCATTTTTATCAGAAGGTGGCTAGTGCTGGTGGTTAGGCTACAGGTGAATGGAACTATAAATTGAACCCACAACTTCGTATTGTAAGTTAAAAATCAGGTTTAGATTACCACAATTCTGCATGTACTTATTTTTTGTCTAGTCCTAGCATTATCTAAAGTATTTTCACAACTTATGACTATAGAGATCTTAGCTAAACTGCAGACAATTTATGCTCTAGGATTTGGTTCTAACTTGTGCTAATAATAAGTGTAAGTCTGCTGGAGTAATTATGGTAATTCTTTTCCCCAGCCTTTATCTGCTAAAGGGATTGGGGAAGCACTGCATGGTTATTTTTATGGTTGAAAAACAAATGTTCCTACATTGAAAACTGAAGTAACTTTCTTTTCAGAAGAGGGGGAGTGCAGGGGGAAATTAGTTTTATTAGTTATCTGTCCCTGCAGATTGCTGGCATGTGATGTGCTGAAAGAGTTTTACATGCGCTGCCAGCAGCAGTCAGTGAGTTTACTGCCTTACAGGTTGACATAAATACGACAAAAAGAAATCACTTTGTCTGTGGGGATGTTGGGATGTGACATGTGTTAGTAGAATTGAAGGCTGCTTTCCTTGTGGTTGATCCTGGATCACATCAGTGGGCTGCAGCTGTTCTTAACCCATTTTATGTTTTTTCTCTCCTTTTTTTTTTTTTTGCGTGTATGTGTAATAGACTTGATGTTATGGGAACTCTTCAATAAAGTCATTCTCTACAGGGAAAATAAGATTATACATCATGCTAAAAAATGGCTATTGTATTTCTGATGCCAATTTAGGAACTACTTAAAAATTCTGAGCAAGTAACATCTGTTTTTATTACAACTTAGAGATGCATAGACTCACTCTGGTTTTTGTTACTCATTTGCTTCACTCGCATCTGAAGCCAGTGCTTCTTACCTCACAAAGAGTACATATTTTACCTTTAAAAGTTTTCTGTATTTATTCATTATTATTTTTTTAAAATAAATAATGAAAAACTGATTGGAGGTGTGAAGGTTGAGGGTAGTCTTGGCTGCAGTGATCGTGATGTGGTGGAGTTCAGGATCCAGTGAAAAAGAAGTAGGTGATTGCAACCCTGAACATCAGGAGGACAAACTTTGGCCTCTTCAGTGACCGACTTGGAGGAATGGCATGGCTTAGGGCCCTAGCAAGAAGGAGCGTCCAAGATTGCTGGTTAGTGTGCAGGCATCACTCACTGCAAGCTCAAGCTCATCCCAGTGAGTGAGAAGTCGGGCAGATGGGGCGGGAGACCTGTGTGGATGAGCAAGGAGCTTGTGGCAAAACTCGAACGGAAGAAAGTAACAGGATGTGGAAAAGAGGACAGGCCGCTTGGAAGCAATGTAGGAATGCTGTCGGGGTGTGCAGAGATGCAATGAGGAAGGCCAGGCACATTTGGAATTAAATCTGGCAGGGGATGTCAAGGACAAGACAGGCTTCTTCAAATACATAGCAGCAAAAGGAAGAATAGGGAAAACACTGGGGATGCCTTGTCCTTCTGTTGTGCCATCATTATGTAGATTCAGTGCTAATAGCCTGCTTCAAATGCTTTGGTTTAACTGAACTTTCTTAATGCCCCTTAGAAGGAGCACATAATTGAAGGCTAAGCTGTAATTTTGATGATTGAAGATAGCAAGCTTTGGGAAAGCATGCACGAATTTTCAGTAGCCTGGTGCTTGGGCTTGTTCTTTGGCTTCTAATGCATGCGTAATGCACCACAGCTAGAACAAGCTTCTAATGCATGCGTAATGCACCACAGGGTTTGTTGTTTTTTTTTATCATGGGAATGGCATGGGGAGGTTGAAGAGACTCTTTTTTCTGATGCTTTAGCATTCTTGGAGGAACAGGGTTTGTAAAATCATTTTGCCTTTAAGAGATCGTTGTGTGATGAGCAATCAGAAAAGAGGTTCTTGGAGCCAGTCTGTGGCAAGCTTGGAGATACAGTATTAGACCTGCGCTGCCTGCATGTGTTTCTGTTATGTTATACCCAAACCAGTAAGTTCTCTCAACTCAGAATACTGAGTTTGTACTGAGAAGAGACACCCAGCAAGCTACCCCAGAGCCAGTTTGAGTTGGATTTATTTATTCGTTCATTCTTGGTGCCAGATTTAGGCTGACTTCATCCAGAGTCACTCAGTTTTCGGTGTTGTGGTTTGCAAGTAATTCCAGTAAAGTTAAAGTTATCCATGGAGGCTGGGCTGCCTTCATCCAGCTTAGGTCTGATGTCTTATTAATGCCAGTTCTTTGCCATACTGAAGCAGCTAGAGTGTTTACAGTCACAAATTATCTGTGGAAGGTGCATAGAGGTAATTCACTTATTCCTTTGTGGATCAGGCTAATCAGGCTAAAAAGGCTAAATCGGGTGGATTAAACAGAAGATGACATTATGGAGACGAGACATTGGGGCATTATTTCTAGATATTCTTGGTTTAAAGACTTTTTTTTTATAAGATGAGAAAGTATCTTTTTAACACCTTATATTATAAACTGTGAATGTATATGTTGGTCATGCACTTTTATGAGCTAATAATCAAAAATCCAAGAATCATAACTGTGAGAATGTATAGTAAGTGAATTATTTGAGAGAAAGTTGCAAGGTCTGGATAAGGATTACAATCAGAAAGTCTCACTGTTTCTTCTTACTCTTTTGCTCTATTTTTTTTTCTGTTTTTACTTAATCTTTTTTGATTTATGGCTATGTAGGTAGAACTTTTGGCAAAGTTGTGAGAGAAATTGCTGGCATAATTGAACTTTCTGGTGACTCTTAAAGAATATTGCGTGTGTCTGTCATATACAGCTTTTTTGCCTCTGATGTTGCAAAATAATTACTGTCTTTATATCTTCATAGTGATCCATATGTTTTGATTATTCTTAATCTTATTATTTCTGTAGGTTGTGGAGAGCACCTTGTACGAACCATACTGGCCAGGGAATGTTCGTGTGCTTTGCAAACGGAAGATGCTCACCAAGCCCTTCTAGAGACTATGCAAAACAAATTTATTGGTAAGTTACCTAAACACTACATAACATTATTTAATAAGCTAGTAGCCATATTAAATAAAAGTAAGATACTTCTGTTTTAAGATGGAGTCATATTAAATGTTGTGTTACATCAAAGTGGTGTTAGATCAAGCTGCAAAAGAATTTTGTGAGAAATTGAAGGGAAAATCCATGGCTCAGTCTCCCTGGGTGTGTGAGTCACAGAATACTCACAGAGGTTTGAAGGATGAGTTTGGTGTCTGAATCACTGACTATGTTATACAATTGAATGTTTTATAATTGGTGGTTTAGCAACATTAACAAAAATTAATTATCATGTAACCATTTTAAATATAACAGACATCAAAAGCTACTTTGTGTTCTAGAGTGCTTTGGACAGACAGACAGACAAGTAGTGAATTGTTATTTATGTGATGAAATTAATGTCTTGAAAATTGAGGTAGTTTTCACTGAAGACTATTACAAGATAGGTTTTTTTTTCTTAATTTGAAAGGATTACACTTGATTGCTATTATGTGTTTCCATTATGCCTATTTACTTTTTGTAAATATAGTTTTTTGTTCCTTCAAGTTATAATTAAAATGTGAATATGAAGTTTTATAAGATCTACATAAATAAAAAGTTTGGAAACATAAATTCCAGTGAGATTTCTGATATATACGTTCACTTGCATTGACTTGTTGGACAAAATGTCTAACATTTTTGAGGCACGGTTTAAAGCTTTCACTCAATGGAGTGCAATATGAATACGCATTTTGCTGTGAAAATGTTTTTGTATTTGCTGCTTCTTGGTGGTTTTTTTATAGTTCTCTTTTATAATTTCACCT